TAACGCTGTTGCAAGAGTAAATTGAAGGACAAATACATAAACTCTTCCTCTCAAAGAAAACCCCAACTCCTGGATTACTTTGCAGGCTGAACTGCTGCAGATGCCTGTTTTCTCAAGTATATTACACTATTCACTCAACAATTTATATTCCCATTGTCTAGATAAATGGATGTGGATCACAGTAAGTGAAAAATCATGCTACATACAATATGTAATGATATATATATATATGTATATATATCATGTAAGACTAATATTTTTTCTCTTATGTGAAGTAGAGTGATGTATAGAGATTAGAGACAGTAACAACTGAAAAACAAGAGTAGAGTTCCTGAGAAAGAGCAAGCCACACCTACCCTAAGTTTTCATTTTCCACTGTTTGCTCTAGTTTGGGGAAATTTTAGTTCATACAGTCATACCTATCTGCAAACCAATTACATAATATAATTAGATGCACAGTGTTACAAGTCAGCCTCCAAACACTGCAATCATCAAAAGATACAAGGGACAAATGAATCCTTTTAATTTTTCAAATTCAAATCTTTAGATTTTTTTCTTGTCCTTGAGTTCCTTCAGAATCCCTTTTCTTTGACTCCAGAATTTGAGAAAAAATTTGAATCCAAATATGAATAATCTACAAGCTGAAACCAATACTGTAGCTCCCTTGTTAACTTTTTACAAGAACTTCATTTTGAAAAGCCAAAGCCTAAGTTTTTAGTTGTACAACAGTTCCACAAGCCCAGTGTCTCTGCAGAATTACTCTGAAAGTGCAAATCTCTTGAGACAGCCAAAACCCTGGTTCTCATGCAGCCTTTGGTAAGTAGATACTCTATCTTGGTCACATTGTCTTCACTTTTCTAACTTTACATTGAACACATTATTGTACATAGGTTACTGAACACTGCACTCAATAGTTACAGATTTTTGGTTATTTTTAAATAAACACTTTACAGGAGTTAGGTTAGACAGCAGTTTGACTGTACATATATAATCATAGTTTCCACTGACATGAGTTAAGCTCTGAGAGTTTTTACAGCTGAGTATTTAAGAGACAGTATGCCTGTACCAATTATGAATCTCCCTACTTTATTACTTAGGTATAGCTGAGGGGACTTAATGGTATTGCACTGCTCAGTTCCAACTATCTGCATAAAAGGATTGAATCTCCCTACTACTAGACAATGTTTACACTCTTAAGTCTAACATACAGCAAGTAATAAAAAGATTACAATGTCAATGATATCAACAAGAGGTTCTTAATTTTGGTAGGTTCTCGCTTTTGCAGTGGTAATTTTAAGGGAAATAAGACCAGCATACATACAAACTTGAACAAAATGGGTACAGTCTATCATGTTATTCATCCCATACAAATCTGAAGTACTGAAAATGTCCTCCTTTAAAAACTGGTGGTGGTGGTGCATGCAGTATGCAGACAAGGTGAACTGCAAGTCTGAGGTTTTTCAGAGGGTTTTTTTGTTTGTTTGGGTTTTTTTTTTTTTTTTGCTGATGCCGATGTGGTGCATGATGAAGTGTAGAGTCAGCCTGCTGAAGTCCTCTATCCTTCTTAATGCCTTGTCCAACATAGGGGAAAAGAGTTCTTTCGAAGGAGAAGCAGTGTGCAAGTTTGTAGTTTATAAGGAATAGTCTGTGCCAGGTTTCCTCTCCTCCAAAGAGAGAGAGCTGCTTGGAGAAATGCAAGTCCTTGAGAACTGCGAAGGTGCTTGGAGGTGTGGGCTCCTTGTTGCACTAAATGGCTCAAGCACACGGCAGTAGGGGGCACTAGGGCTCAGGGTTAACTCCCTGCGGTGGCACAGCCTCCAGCAGCACTGGCCTGCTTTGGAAGGACTGCTGCCACCCAGCCTGACCACGTCTGAAGGGCTGCCATTAGTACAGTCAAACAGCTACAGTGAGAATGGATCACAACCTACCTCGGCGGCCCAGATATGGCTTAGTGTAGTCCCAACTATCGTTGTCGTTCCTAATGACATTAAGTCGAGTTGGCTGTTCAAATAAAGTAAAAGTGAAAGAGGTTAAGTCTTGACTAAATGTCATTTTTTCCTAGTAAAATTAAAAGAGAAGGTCCAAGCATTACCCTTGCATATTCGATTTTTAGTGTGCAGCATCCTGCATAGATATCTGCTCCATTGAGTGCAGCCTTTGCCTTCTGGGCACAAAACACAGATTCAAACATGCACATGATGTTAAGGATCTTCTCCAGATGTTTCATTCGTGTCCCTTTTATCTGATATGGCCTTACTTTTGTAGCCATACAAAATAGACACCTCACTATTGTATACACTACAAAAACTCTATACAGACTTACCACAGTAGTTACTTTACARCAAAAAGAACTAAGTGTACACCCCTTTTCATTCACTAGCCAAAAAAAAAAAAATCCAGCTACTAAAAGAGAGATTTTGAGTGAACAAATAATCACCTTGCCTCAAAAATGCAATAGGCTCCAACACCTGAGTTATTTCATATGCTCTCCATACTCCAAGATTAGATCTGAGATTGGCAGAAAAATGTACCTGAACCTTGGTATATCACAACCCATGATCTCACATATAATAATAAATGTCAGAAAACCTGAACTTTGCAGCAGAACAGACCTTTTGCACCAAGCCTTGATATCATTTGGCGACATTTTGGAACGAGTCCAAAACAACACCATATGCTTGGGTTTACCACATTCCTGTGGCCCAATTTCTTCTGCATCACCAAAGTGATGCAGGTTCACTATGGACTTAAAAATTAGGGAAGTGAAGCTTCTCAGACTTGTAAGAAACTGACACTGGCCAGAACTGCAAAAGTAATAAAAACTGCAATTAGCATTTAAATTTGAGTACATTTTTAACTTTTCAGACAAAGCTTGTCTCAAAGCTTACATTCCTCCCCACCCCTAACCTTCCTGCTGTATTACTTCAATGACATTTGTGAGTTTTCTGTCAATTGCTGGCTGTTTTCATTTTCAACAAAAGGATGGTAGTTCCCGAGTGTGTGAAGGATCCTCCCCACAGCTTCCCTAATCTTTTACAAGATAAAGAATAACCCCCAACTGTACAAGTCATATGGTCCTGGCACCTTTTATGACAAGCTGAACACATACAGTAAGTCTGTTAGGACACACAGTTTAAGTCTTCCACATAGATAAACATCAATTAATTTGATTTCATAAAAGTTAGGGTAGCTCTCTTTCCCTGCTAAATCATCAGTGCAGCCACTGGTTAAGTCATACTTTGCAGACATGAAATCACAAAATAATGCTGAGATTTTCACAAATTCTGTCCAGATAACAGTTAGAAAATAGATGGTAATCAAGGTTTAGGAAGAGAGCTATCAGAGTTTCATAAATGAAGGCCTAATAATATCAGACTTCCCACTTTGCAAATCACAGCAACACAGAACATTCTGAACATTCAACCCATGGACAACTTAATGGTACAAATAAAATAAACACTAGGAAAAGAGAGCAGGGAATTTCCTCAATAGAGGATTCCTAAGCATCAAAGTCAAGGATGCCTAAGCTGGCCTTTACTTTAATAAAGTCAAAATAGTAAGATAAGCACTATATACTGAGACTATTTTAGAAGAGTCTGAAGAAGACAAACTGCACCTCTGCAAACCCTTACCCATTTCTTGAGTATCAACAAAGTCAGAAGACATGAAATCTTTGTGTATAAGCGTGCAGATAAGGGGTTCTCAAATCTATTATATAATTCATGTCTGCAAATAAGAGGTCTGAGGGCCTAAGCAAGACCACTGTTGACAATGCCATTTTCCTACAAAGATTAAATGTGTAAGTACTACCTTGTCTTACAGACAGACAAAAATTAAAAGTTAYCATGTCTTAGACAGAAATTAAGAAATAATCCGGTCTCAAAATCAATGGTATTTTTCTGACATTCTTATGTTAAACYCATTTGGAGTCAAGAACCTACAGCCAAAAAAACCAAAAATCACACTCAAAAAGGATATTCAACCATGGCTTGTATTCCATTTCTCTTGAAAATAACAATGCGCTGAACTTTTCCAACCGGGTTGCACACAGTGTACAAAACATCCTAAGGAAGAAGAAGAAAAAAAATTTAGTCAGATGTGAAATTCCAATCACTTTTGGTCCACAGAACATCTTCTTGAAGTGGCACTGAAATGCCAAAGAGAAAAGGCTTATTAACTTTCCATTTTTTATTTTCCCCTCTACAGTTTACACAGTCATGAYTGGCATTCTTATGGATCAAAATAGTACAGGCAACCACATTTGAAAAATAGGAAAAAAACTTCTATAAGAAGCAGTCATACAAATATTGTATCTTCAACTGTGTTAAAACCCAGTAACTGCATCCATGCCTCAAGCTCTGCTACCTTTGAAGCATTGCCCTGCAGTTCTACCACAGCAGAGAGATGAAGTGACACTTGCAGTGTAATTCAGCTTCTGCCACAAAATGCCCTTGAACAAACCAATTTCTCTGCAAAAACTCTATCTTGTTTTTAAAGTAAAACTTTAAAACTATAGTTTAYTGCAGTAATTGAGATTTGCCACTTAAAACTGCTTGCAATTTTTCATCTGATTTGTCTAACTGCAGTTCAAATTTAAGAAGAGCGTTGAAGAGGAAGAGGTAGTGTTGTACTTTTTGCCTTTTTTTTTTTTTGAGGGCAAGGGTTGTTTGGTTGATTTTTGTTTTCTTTTGTCGGCGGTGGGGTTTTTTAAAAAAATGCAGACTTTGCCTGAGACATTCTTAAATCAACTGTTTCTTTTTCCCATTAACCAAGTGCAAAATTTGTATTTTTCTCATCACATTTTAGCTGTTATGGGCACAGCTGCTCTCCCCAGTTGCTGTGACTACACTGCCTTCAATGAGCTCTGATGCTTGCCAGTAATTCTGGAAATCTGCCTGCTTCTAGCACTCATTTGTATCTGCTAAAGAAACAGCTGGGGGCAGTGGGAAGGAAGAGATTGGGGGAGGTTGTTTGTTTTTAAAAAGCAGCTACTGTGCCAAAGGCCTCATCCTCTGAATTCCCATGGAACTCTCCCAGCACAGAACCAGGATTCTGCTCCCAGYTTCTTCAAGCATCCATCTCAACTCCACAGCTCACACAAGGCAAATATAAAATGAATGAATGAAACAGTTTCCAAAAATTGTATTACAGTCACACGTGAAGAATMCTTTAACTCAGTCATTGGATTTGTTCACACAGCTCAGAGCAGGTTTGTTTTCAAACACTAAAAAGCAACTCATACCTTGGCATGCTTTTCTATRAAGAAAATTGACAGGAGAAAGAAGATTAATCACCCACTGATAAATCAACAGACAGAAAGCTATGGATACTCACAAGGCAATGAAGCAGAAAGCAGGATGTGGAACTGACTGYTTGAGGTAATTTCAGGAATACTAAGTTGCAATCAATTTGCAATTAATATGCAGCACATTAAACAAAACTTAATGCTTGMAYTACKTYAYTYCAYWCMMCYCAMWC